GATTGCTTCCGCAGAGCTTCCGCGTGCTTCCGCGCACACAGTTCCGTGCAATTTTCTGCGGCTGAAACCATTTCCAGGCCTACTCATAATGAAAGAAGCGCGGAAAAAAACCACGGCTGGGCCCTGGGTTCCGCAGTTTGGGATGACCTTTCGGGTCTGAGCCCAGCATCGGGCTTCATGGAGTGTGATGTAGCCGTCTTCCCTAGTCGGTACCGCCAATCTGGTTTGGGGCCTACCAGCTTGAATCAGTAGGGCCTGCAAATCCTCCTGTCAGCTGCCTCCTGGGCCCACTCTCGGGGTGTGAATTTTGGACCCTGCAAAATCTCAGCGGGTCAATGGTTTGGGTTTCACGGTAGCACCGGCACAAGGCCCCTGAGTGTAAATCCCTAACTTTCATAGTCAAACCTCCCAGGAACCCCTTATACTTGTGCTCTCTCCTGACTGGAACCGGACCGAGGCCGCAGCTGCCCAAAGCCGTGCCTGCGGCACGTGCGGCGCGAGCCGCAGCAGCGAGCAAAAGCTCGGCCTCGGCAAGCTTTCTGGAACTCGTCTTGATTGTTGTGCTGACTGCTTATTGTAGGCAATCATATGTTCCGTGCTCAGTGCCTGGCTAATTCCCACTGCTGGTTCTTCTCGCAAGTCGCGATGCATGACCCGTACCTGTTGCGGGCTGATAGCTGAGCCGAGGTGCATGACATGCCAGGCAAATGTACATGGAAAGGTTGTGCGCCGCTTTGAAGAAGACACGGATCACCGAGAAGGAAAACATCGGTTCTCCAAACTCAAAACATTGGGATCCAAACCAAAAGTACTCCGCGAACACCCACTGCCATCAGAACAAGCCGAATGCCAAACTACCGGAGGCGCGCACGAGATCGAATCCTCGACTCCGGAAACAGAAAGCCAGCTGAGCGCACCGGCCCAGCGCCTCGAAATTGGGGGGTGGGTGGGTGTGTCTTTTGTGTTTTGGGGGAGGGGAGGGGCAGTTTCAAGGGCGAGTTTAGGGGCTTAGGGTTTAGTTGGGTTGAGGGGTTCAGTTCTCCACAAGCTTAACGGGTTTCGGGGGTGGGGTTTGACGGCTCAAGGGCTCCGGTGCTACACCCTATAAGAGTGCAAGCACTACGTCTGTTATTAGTGTTCGGCTTGGGTACTTGGACTTTGAGGTTGAATTGGGCTGCTGCCTTCAGGGTTTAACCGTTCGTGTGTGGATGTGTTAATCTTTTTCTGGGTGAGGTGGGCTTTCCGGACTGGGGGTTTGGTTTTCATCGGGCCACTTCTTTCTCACTTGATCCACATCAAACAAGCGCGTACTCAAAAGGCGCTGCATACACGGATCTTAATACACCACCCAAGACACGCTCGTTTGCAATCTTACAAAATGCCTCAACCCAGCGATCTAAAGCCAGACTACCGAAAGCCCCAACCCAACATCATTCATGACACCTTTATCCCAAAACGCCTAATCCTCAACTCAGACCCGAATCCCTCACCTCTCAGGCACATGCCCTGCCGAAGCACTGCACGCTATGGCCACTTTAGCACCGACCTGTGAACAACCGGGCTATTGGAAACGTCGGAGCCCAGGGCTGCCTTTAATGTGGACTGCATGCTCAGAGTTTGCAGTAATTGTTCTATGCGGGTCTCCTTTCAGGCGCCTACCGGAAATGTAACGGAGTCAGGGTTGCCTGAAGGCCTCGGCTGAGCCTCGGCTTGCGAGGCTTTCCACACATTTCTGAAACTTGAAGCTTGCGTGCAGAATCCCTAAGCCCTCCGCACAAGCCCATTCACATCGCTTCGAAAGACAACTTCCGAAACCAAATTCAATACCGTCTATTGCTAGGGATTGCTAGGGCCTGAAAAAGTCGGGGTAGCCATGCTCGAACTCGCACACTACCACCACCACTGCTGCTGCTGCTGCTACTGATGTTGCTCCTGCTGCTGCCGCTGCTACTGCTGCCACTACCACTACCACGACCACGACCACGACCACCAGCACCAGCACCAGCACCGGCACCAACACCACCACCACCGCCAACAACAACAACAACAGCAACAGCAACAACAACAGCAACAGCAACAGCAACAGCAACAGCAACAGCAACAGCAACAGCAACAGCAACAGCTACAGCTACAGCTACAGCTACAGCAACAACAACAACTACTACTACAACTACTACCACCACCACTGCTGCGGCTACTGCCTATACAACAACAACAACAACTGCTACTACTACTACTACTACTACTACTACTACTACTACTGCTGCTACTGCTGCTACTGCTGCTACTGCTGCTACTGCTGCTACTGCTGCTACTGCTGCTACTGCTGCTACTGCTACTGCTCCTGCTCCTGCTCCTGCTCCTGCTCCGCTACTGCTACTGCTACTGCTACTGCTACTGCTACTGCTACTACTCCCGCTGCTGCTGCTACTGCTGCTACTGCTGCTACTGCTGCTACTACTGCTGCTGCTGCTACTACCACCACGACTACTACGACGACGATGACGACGACTACTACTTTCCACTTCCACCTCCACTTCCGCGTGCACTACTTCTACTACTTCCCAAAACTGCTCCTCCTAATGTTAATTGCAACTACCCAGTGTAGCCATGGCAATGCTACCAACGCCATACTCCGTTACCGCCAAGTGCTGAGGCTTTTAAGTCTTGACTTAGACCCATTGCCTCCCGAACCAAAAGCCCCAGCTTCCCTCGTTGCCTCGACCGAAGACCTCTCAGCGGCCTTCAAGAGAGACATGGCCTGCGAAGTGGCACTGAAGCAAGCAGCGGCGTGCTTAGGTGGTGCGTCGTCGGTCTCGGTTGTTACCAGCGTTGCCCGCTTCGTGCTAGGATCATGCCGGAGCTTTTTTGTGCATGTGTGCCGAAGCGACAACATCTTTCTCAGAACCGACCAATCCGGTCATTCGATTTAGGGCTTCGGGATCGGGAGTCCAAGACCTGAGCATCCCTAAAACCCCGGAAGCTTCCGTCGCAAACAACTGGGAGGTGACCAAGAAGCTGAAGTCTACAGTGTACTCACATTGTCCGAGAAAGCATCCGCTCATGAACAGCATGTCATGAATCCGTGCAGTGCTCAGGCTTTCGGGGTTGAAGAGTTTAGGGTTTAGACTGCTTGAAGAGTCTGTCCCTTAACAGCTTCAGCATTCCACGGCCTGTCGCTTCTGTTTTGGGTTTTGGACTTGAGACTGCCACCATCACAAGGACCCTCACATAAGAAATCCCCTGTCAATAGGCACTCATATGGTTTTGCCCTGAGCCGAAGCTCGTCCTGGCATGCCTTGTCGGTATCCGAAGCGGCGCTACAGGCACCTCTTTCGGAAGTAGCGTGTCGGGTTTGGGGTTTTGCCGGTGTGAGGGCGTGTATGGCTCAGGATTTAGGGTTCAAGGGTCGGGATTTTGGAGAGACTCGACAAAGGGTTCCTCTAGTGAGCTAGGGCTCAAGCGACATGTGGAGTTGCATGCACCGCAAACCACAAGCACCGTGCACCTTTCGAGGGCGTGGGGGATCCACTTGAGATATCGCGCCCCGAAAAATCCAGCAATCCTGACAACCATGCTTTTAGACATCTACGGCCGCACAAAGGCCCAACTTTAGCCCAACAATACAGCACAGAAAGCCGCACGAACACTCACACAAGCCTCTGCAGAAGTTCACTAGAAGCCCGGTGAAAATCCAGTGGGAACTCTTACGACCTGAAGCCTGAATCGTAACGCGTTGAGGGCCCCGCTTACCGCAATGCTACAGGCGATGCGATCTGGCACGAATCGCCTGACTGCCGTCTCTTTCAAGTTTAGGGCCTTGGCATTTACGGTGGAAGATGCCTAAAACTCTTCTAAATGTCGGGGGTGCTCCAAGCTAGACATAGGTTTGGGGCATGCTGTTCACAGTGGTCGGTCTAAAGTTTGCCACCAGAGTGGAGAAAATAATGTATGTTTCACTCGCGGTGCTGCTCTTTGAAGTCTTGTTCCTCACATCTTGTGCTTTGCTGAAAAAAGCCTCTACCCGCAAGGTAAGTAAGGTCAGATGTCGACGCCTGTGAAGACACCCTCACATTGACTTCGTTGACTTGAGCCGCGTCCGGGTCATGTCCCGAAGTCAGGATCTTCAAGCTTCAAGTTGCATTCTAGAAAAAATCATCCTGTGCTTTGCTAACCCAGTTCTTCTGCTTCTTTTTTGCATACCTGGGTTGACGTGCTCAATCTTCTTTTCAGTGTGCTTGATTCAAGCTTCATGTCTAAGCATACTTCATAGTGTCACAGCAGCAAACTACCCTATGTAACTCTTCTCAACAGATCAATTTGCGGTGTTCTAGTCCATGTTCTAGTTACTAGTTTCTGCAACAGATCTGTGCAGTGGGTTTTGATTGCATACCATGTTGAGACATTCAAAACATTATGTACGAGTACTTCACGTTCGCATGTGCATCCTATTCGCAAAAACACACATAAGAATATCACTGTGCTTGAGCTTCACTATCTTGGGTTGAGGCTGGGACAGAATTTCGATGCAGCTTGTGTATTGGGATGCACGGTACAGATCCCCAGACTGGAACCTCCACAAGTTGACCTGTTATGAAAGGCTTCAGGACCTCGCGAGTCCAGGTCTGACCGGTCACGAACCTAAGGCTTCATGCTCTAAACTTTGTGCAAAGACTTAGGATCAGGCTGCGAGACTGTTAGCGTGTTAAGTCTTGTGGCTTCTGCTGCCACCTGAAAAGGAAACAAAGCCAAAAACTCGGCTTACATTCAACACCATGCGAAAGCTTTAGCGCAAACCCTTAACCCGGAAAACAGACACCCCAAACTCAGCATTTGCACACCGGACTTCTCGCTATTTCACAGTCTCGACCAAAAGCGGAATCGTGCATCATAACTTGTGGTACTACGGGCGATTCTGCAAGGGATGTCATGTTGAAAGTCCCGGACACAGCAATCCCAGAACCTCAAGACCCATATCCTAAACCTTGAGCCCTGATCTCTCAGAACCCTGGGGAAATAAGCTCGTAGGCCCGCCTGCCCAGCATCCGCTGCAGAACCAGTGCAGAGGCCTGCGGGAAGGCATAAAAGTTTGGGGGCTTCTGTTTTGCTTCTTTTGAAGGCCTTTTCCACAACGTCTCGGCTGTAGCAAATTAAGGGCCTGTGGGGTTTATAGGGTCTGAGGCGTCAGGATACAGGTAGGCAGGCAACTTACTGGACAGTTGCTGAACTGAAGCTGTATCCCTGTGCGCACATGGCATCTGCTGCTACAGTCTGATGCCACATATATATATATATAATACACACACACACACACCTAGGTCATCTACACACACACACACACATTGCACATGTGACTGCTGGCAAGGTTTCGAGATGATGGTCTGGAGGCACGCCGTCGACATGTGAACACAGCATGCTTGGTGCAAGAGGAGGCATGCCTACGTCGGCTAATCTTTCACTCTACAGCACCTGGAGGGCGACACTCGACCTCGTAGAAGAACCCCTACAAATGTCAGTAGTCCCCTGAGTTTCTTGCAAGGTGCACCTGAGAACCTAAAACCCTTAACCCTAGATTGTACTAAAGCCCGCAATTCAAAAACAAGCTTCTGAGCCATCACGGGGGCGCTGAATGCTGGGGCTACCTGGGCCCAGCGCGCGGAGCGCTCACAAGCCGACAGCCTGGGCATTCGTTGCTTTTGGTTTCGATTGCTAGAGCTTCGAGCTTTGTCAGGGTTCAGTGTTTCGGGTTAAGGATCGGGTTTTGGGGTTTTCGGGTTTGTGCGGTATCGGGTTGAGGGTTTTGGGTTTCGCATTTCTGTTGTATTGGGAGAGCTTTAAACTTCAGATTGCCAGCATGTGTGGAATTAACTTAGCTGGTAGCACAGTGGGCTGAACCCAGATACCTAAACCCCAAAATCCTAAAACCCTAAGCCCTAAACCCGTAGAGCCCTCAACCCTAAATCCTAAAACTCTAAACCTACCCTGCTTCAGGCCTCTATCTGCCTTGCACGACGGAAAACATGGTATCCCATGGCCATATCCTAGCACTGAGGCCAGATCAGTAAAGTCTCAACCCGTCGGAATCGCAGCTTCCAGCCCCTATATCTCCCACTGTCGGGAGTGAAACCTCCTCCCCACTAGACCCTCCAAGTTGTCAGGCTCCGGCACTGCGGAGAAGGTAACCTGGTCAGGACAAAGCCCGATGGCCTGCACGTGCTCCGGGATTTAGGCTTGGTGCTTGATGCCATGGCGGCCGTGGTTTCTCGCAACCCCAACACTCTCCGGTACTCGAGCTTTTTTTCGGAACAAGGCTGAGGATGTGGAATGCTCCACACCCAAACCATGACCGTATCCATCCCGAGCCTCCGAGGAGCACATCACGGAGAGTGCCTCGACGTCAGAATGATCGGAGGTCTCACTTCTGGCGATTCTGGCTTTAGGCTTTTTCCGGTTTGGGGGTATGACTTTCAGGGTGGGAAGTGTGAGTCAGGCCTTAGGACCACAGAAAAGTTTGGCCGGGTTCTGTGCATCAACTACTTGACACTCTCAAACTTGGCTCCCAGAACAATATGCTTTGTCTCATATGAGGCACGTAATACAGAACAGTTGCAGACAGGGGAAGATTCTGCTATAGCTTCGTGCATGACCGTATGAACTGTGGAATTTGGGGTTAGCTGGAGTTGGAGCTCCGGGGGTAGGGGGCCATGGCGTGTTGGTCAAATCTGTTTCGAAGGGCAGAGTCTGACGCCCCACGCCCCACGCCTGCGACCAGCGGCTGGCTCCCGGAGCAAGAGATAGCTCACCTGGGAGAGCGTTCTTTGTGGCATTTTGTTGGACTTCGTGCTCCTTTATCCTTTCAGGGTTTTGGAGTTCAAGCTCAAGATTGACAGCTGATGCATTTCTGTACGGCGCCCTGCCAAATCCACAAGCTACCGAGCTCTATCAAGGTTGAACGATTCGGAACACCGCGAGGAGGCATGGCCTCAGTTCTTCACCGGCAAGGGTCGATAGCTCCGTCTGAGCTTCTAGTACCAGTAGTAGGATGTTCCTGCTCGTGGCTTCAACAGAACGGCATAAAGCTCAACATCAATAATTACTGCGAAAGAGCGGGTTTCAGAATGCTTCAGGGCGGCATGTAAAATGCTTGAATTTCCAGTTGAGCACGTGCTGATGCGTATGATTCAGTGCCTGAATCTGTCCAAGATCTTGCTTCACCACAACATGACACACGGGCAGCATCTTCCTTTACGGTTACCAACCAGCACATGCCTTTTGTTTAGACAGCTTGAAACTTCATAACTGACAACTGCCCTCCAAAACCCGAAGCCCAGAAACTATAACACCCAATAGCCTGCAATAACTCACATAAAACCCTACTCTCTAGCCTCATTGTGAACAACAGTGACTGGGAACGCCGCCGAGGACGACATTGCCAGCTACGGCATCGATGCGTAGGCCTGTTCCAGACCAAAACCCTACCTCAAGCTGCTATAACCTACTGTTTCTCGGTCGCAGTCGCAGTGTCGCTCAAGGTAAACCCTGAGCAGCAGTCGGCGACGAGACTGATCCGTGGTTGTTATATGATCCAATCTCATCTCCAACATTTATGACACAAGTCGTGCAAACCAAAGCGCTTAAACACCGAATCCATCAGCCCCAAATCCCCAAATCCAACAACACACCACGATGTACTGCTGCCGCTAGCACTGCCACAATCACTACCACTACCACTGCCACACGAACCTGATATGACGACGACGACGACAACGATGATGACGAGCACGACTCGAGCACGAGAAGTACACTCCAGCGTGACGACGACGGCTACACTATTCGGCGGCGGGAGAGAAAGGAACCCTCGAAATGGGAAGAAGGGGGGGGAAGTGGGCGCAGGGAACTACATGGCAAGGGTCAATGTGAACATGTCCTTCACACAGCAGCAGCATTCGCAACCCTGTAAATGCCCTTGCAGCTCTGCTGACGTCCACATACCACCTGCCTACCTGCCCTACCTTCGCAGTATTACCCAGTCGCTTCCTCGCAGACGGACCTCCTCCGACCTAACACTCCGAACCGTCGTATGCTCCTTGGGCTAATGACCCATGATAAGTCTTCCTCCTGACTAAACCGACAAGGACGGTCAGATTCCCGGTAGCCTGAAACGCGATCTCTGAACCAAGGAAGCACGGCCTTCCGCTTGCAAAGTCGGCATCAGCATAAGCCTTCCAGTTCAGAACAAGATTGAGGCCTGATAAATCGCAACAGGGTCGTCGAATTTGTTCAGTTTGCTCTATTCGACTCCATTTACACAAAGTAGGTTGCAACACACTAGTACCGTTTGCGTTTGATAATTAGGATCCAGTGGCTTGTCCTGTTCCTCAAGGATGTTCGAGAACCCGGTCGGGCATTGAGCAGACATGCTCTAGCCATGCCACAGGACTTCGGCTGCACACGCTGCAAGCCCTCGGAGCCCAGAGCCAACGTCCTCAACCCCCAAATAACGTCAGTTGCACTCTTGTCTAAAGCACCTTCGTTCACGGTGTCCCAGCGCACCCTCAGCGTCTCTCAACCCACCAAAGAATCGCAACCCCAAAATCCCAAACCTCGAAGCCAAACTGACAACACTAATCACTAAACAAAACCCCTCAACCCTAAGCCCTGAGACCCCAAACCCCTGAACCCCAAGGTCCGATCGAGGCCCTTACGCTGGCTCCCAGAGGTTGGAGGCACAACGAATGTCCAGGCTCGTCGTCAACGAGGCCACGCTGGGACGGAGGGACCTTCTTGGGCTGGGTGCCGGGCTTGGGGCTTTAGATGAGTTTGTGAGTTTAAGGTTTAGGGTTGGTGGTGTTTTGCATTAGATACCCCAATACCTACCACGACCGTGATAGCTACCAATTTGTTGTCGCGACTGCTCAGCAATCAAGACTGTCGACATGACTGTTGGTCTTATTATTTCAGCCGGCTAATGATACGATGCTAATGATGCTGTCTGCAGACTGTGCAGGACCCCTGGGGTTTTAAGTCCACGATCGGAGTGTGGTGGATTCGAGGTCTGGGTTTGGGGCCTGTGTGACTTTCCGAGAGCCAGTAGACAAACATGTCAAGCCCCTAACCACTAAATCTCGAAGTCTTCCCTGAGCGGAAACGGAAAGCTTTAGCGAAGCTATGGTTCGGGGTGCAGCCCTCGTGTTTCCTCTGCAAGGTGCTTGGGAAGTGCATGAGTCTTCGTCTCACAAGACTGAAAGGCGCTCAAGCGAACTCACGCCAAACTCCAACAAACCCTCGATTCCAAGGCGCTGGTGAAAACTCAGAGCCGCAAGAAATAACATACCTAAAATCCCTACGCCCCTAACGGCCCTAACCGTAACCAGTTCAGCATGCGTCACATGGAGAACTGGAGCCACACTGGGAATTCATTAACATCCCCCGTTTCCGCACGGTCCAGTGTTGCCGGTTTAGCCTCAGGGTGCCGGGGAAACCTGAAGAGGAACAGCTACGCATGACGTTTAAGGCATCTGTGGGCTGACCCGCCTCGGTCGCATCTGCGACAGCATGGACACGGACAGCTGCCAGCCTCGTGGATTCCTAGTGAGAAACCTGGTGTTATAGATGCGAACGTTACTGATAGTCGCACCTGTCGTCATCACAACCATCACAATAAGTGGTGAGCATGCAATGTGAACATGTGAGCAGCGAGCCATAGGCATGTCCAGCCGAACGCGGGTTTATTGTATTTGAGGAATCCCCCCTGAGGATCTAGCAGGCTCCCTCCGCACCTCACACCAAGACTTGGGATTCCAGTGCTCTAAGACCTGCTGTTCCACGGCTACGCCGGCAGAAATGCTTCCCTCTCCAGGCTTACCTCCCAAAGCTTCTAAGCTTTCGCAACTGAGTAACTGAAGATGGAGCTGCAGGTTTAGGCTTTCAGATCTAGGGTGGCGAGAATTGGTCAGCAGGGCAAGGCTACATTACGTCCTTTGAGAGCAAACATCAAGGCCCGAAGCGTTCTACGGTTTATGCTATGGCAAAATGTCAGGTTTGGGTTTTCGGCAGGCCCAGTTCTCGGTTCGATCTCGCTTCTGCATGCAACTCGTCGCACCTGCTCGGGAAAGGGAATGGGCGACACTGTTCATGCCCGGCACATCCAGCCTTGGCTG